AAAGAGTATCCATCCACAAGTATAATCCATCTATCTATCTAAATATTATATATATGTAAAACATCAACACAAATAAACGCTATGTATTGATAAACATAAGGCATTGTATTAAACCAATATATTACTGTGATCATTCTGTCAGCTAGTATGATCAGAATGTTGAGCCCTAAAGACTGTAGATAAAAAAAGAAAAACAATGATTAAAATATATAATTTATATAAATAAATAATTTATGATTGTGTCCCACAAATTACAACTGATTTCTATTGTGGCAAAGCCAGCTATTTTGATTTAAAAACAAAATTGCTAAATCGATTTTAATAATTTTTTTATGGGGCTAATCCTTAAAGTACATATATCTTTTTAGATATAAAAATTATTTTCCAAATCGGCTTATAACTTACAGACAAAGTAACAAAAATAAAAAATAAAAAATACCGAAATGAGTATACTTCCTTTTTTTGAAGTTGGTTAAAAATTGATCATTGATCATTCATTGATCATCAGATCATTTACTATTCCACCTTGCAGAAAAAACTACATATTTTTTTATGATACGTTCCGAGGCGTGCAACTTTGTTGATCGTTGATCATATTTTATTCAAATCAAAGTGTTGGGTTATCCCAGGACGGTTTATTTTTCTCAATATACAGTTTTTCAATTGTTAGAGACCGCCGTCTGCTCATTTGGCTCTCTAACAATCATCTTGTGGGAAGCGACTACCATCGCCCATGCACACTTGCAATACGAGGGGAGTTGCTTGTGCGTTAATCCACAGATTTAAGATTCTAATGCCAAAATTAGAATTTTATGAATTTGTCTACAAGTGACATGGAGTGTCTCAGTGTAGGAATGTATAGGAATGGCGTGAGTATTTTTATTATTTATGTATCGCAGTTTTCTATATTTATTTTATTTATTAGTAAGTTTTTCGGAATCCTTTACACAATATTATATATTATTAATTTTTATTAATCAAGTTATAAATATTAAACTAAACAACTGTTTTTATACAATTATATGGACAATGTTATGTTATTATTTTTTCGATGGGCGTCAGTCGTTAATTGATCGACAAGGTAATTAGTTATATAAATTATATAATTAGATTATTAAACCAGGTACATAAATAAGGCGAGGATTTAAATAAGTGTAATAAATGATATGACGGTTTCATAAAAGAGTTTAACATATATGATGAATAACAGAGGACTATGATTTTTAATAACACATTTTTTGATGAGGGATATAACGTGGTCCCAGACAAAATTACGTTTTTATAGAACAGATATATTGACTTTATACCTTTTGCCTAATAAATAAGTATAGAAAAAGCAAAATAATATCCCATAGGTGCTAAATACTTATTACTTTGGGACATAAGATTAAAATAATTGAAAATTTAAAAAATAGTATTAAAACTTAAGTTTTGTGACGAAATTGTAGTTCTAATTACATATAGTTTTGTAATAAAAAAAAAAGTAGTTTTAATAATTGTTTTTTATACAAATAATAATAGTTCTTTTAATATGTAGGAATAACTGGTACCCTAGACAGTGTACGGTTACAAGGTTTAAAATGAATTTGTCAGCAAATTTCAAACTTCTCGACTTTTCGCAATTTATATTAATTGCGCTTTTAAGTTTCACGTATTACTCCCAATAGATATTCATTTTTAAATGTGTGAAACTTTGCAGACGAGAGCGCAATCAACCATAACTTAATTATAACTTTGTTGTTAATCAAACTTGTTACTCAACAAGTGAGCTAAGATTGCAAAATTACATCTTAAAAGTACACCTATCTATCTTTAAAGTAATAAGTACCTAACCTGAACTACAATGCCGTGTCGTTCCGGCATAGAATGAGCCACTCCTTCCTTTACTGTGGGTGTCAAAATATATAACTAAGGAAAATTAATAGTCGAGAGATAGGCGGCAACATCCCACTTAATACATTACCAAATGCTAACTGGTTTTGCCAACCCACCTGTCAAGCATGGCGACTACTGAGAAAACCCCTCTTTATAGGAGAAACCTATTTTTAGCAGTAAGCAGTTAATGCCTGATATATGTAATGAATTACATTAATAATGTATATTATATAAACAACAATATATGGTGTGATAGTTCAAATATTAATAAGATACAGGGTGAAATCGAGATTGTAAACGGTATGTTTCGGTTCGAAGGGTGGGATATGGCGTGAATTGACTGGGTACAGAGGAATCCTCAGGAATGGCAACGCATGGGGGTATCATGGGCAAAACCGTATACTCTGTTATGTCCATGGCACTGCTCATGTTTATAGGCGACAGTTACCACTTTCCATCAGGTGGACCGTTAGCTTGTTTGCCATTCTAAGTTGTATAAAAAAAATGTAAAACAAAATCTACCTAGGCTATAGAACATTATTAGGACAGAATTAACATAAATCAAAAATTAAAAAAGGACAATGAATTTTGAGTCTCTCATATAATAAATAATTTTATATCAACTAAACTTATTTTTGCTAACTAAGCATTTTTGAATCGTCCATTTTTTTACGAATCTATCGTCTAGTTCGGAATTTTTTGAATTTTTAAGAAATAATCCTATTGAATTTGCGCCACTATGAATATTCTCATGTTATAGTTTTTATAGAGTAGAATATCTATAAATTGAGGTACCTATATTTATTTAAATTTATATGAATAAATAGCTGTATCCTAGTTTTACTCAGTGCCTTAAGATAAGAAACATTATCTTGTATTTAAGCATATCAAAAGTACTTAATTTGCTTAAATACGAAATAATGATTCGTCTGTTTACCTTTCATGCAAATACGTCCAACCGTTTAAGTGTAATCTTTATAAAAAAATACAATTTATATTTGTAATATTAATACGGATTTATAATATTAATAGGCAATTTATAAGTGACAGTTTTCTGAAAATATCTGACGTGACGGAAAACTTTTTCGTTTTCTCATTCAGCTTTGGGACACTCGAAAATCAGTAAATAGACGTTTTTTGACAAAGGCATTTCATTCTCGACATCAAAGGTAACATAAAATTCTATGATGATAGTGAAGGATTTCAAATTTTTTTTCTTTTTAAACAAAATGTGGCCTTATTTACTTACTGTTAATGTAACTTTCAGAATGTGAAAGAATTTTTAAAATCGCTTAAGTATTTTTTTACTTCATCTATTACAGACAAAAAAATAAAATATTTCCTTTTTATATTAGTTTAGATGAAAGCATCTTAGTCCCACAAAAATGCAACCATATATTGGGATACCACGGGCTTCACAGGTTAGATATTTCATAATGGATATGGTATTGTTCATATTTAGAAGTGACGGTTACTATCCATTATGTAGGTGGAAAAAAAGATTGGCCAGCTAATTTGCCACTCCCAAAAAATACAAATAGTTACATTTTTGCATACAATTTAGGTCTGCTAAAAGCACGTTAAAGTAATCCTAAAAAGATTGCTTCAACTCACCTGTCACAAGTGATATGCACGCGACCTTCGCCACACGCGACGTTGTTTTTGCCTTATATTGTTAAAAAAATAAATATTAATACACATAAACGAGTTTTTTGAGAAAAAATTATAATAAAAATAAAATAAAATAAAATTATAATAAGAATATGAAAAAATCTTAGGATTTTAATCAATTACACTGTTCGTCTAATTTTTTGGCTAGATTGCGCGATCGAGTACTTTTTTAATCGCTCTGCTATACGCGTGTCTCAGTTATCTTAAGTTATATGTCAGACTAATTAGTCCAGTAGAGCGTAACTTAGAAATTTCTAAGTTTTTAAGCACTATTATATACCTGTAAATTTACTTTTCAATTGATTTCAAAAGAAGGAGGTTCTTAATTCGAAATTAACTTCAAAACTTTATTACTGTGTTTGTGTATGTGTTCAAAACTCTAAACGAACATTTTTAACGTAGGTGAAATGTGCATGATACAGCAGCATTACAATTGTAAAGCAACATCTTGCTGGTTACGAAGCAAAATCTACTTACAGACAGATAAACGTTTTAATTCTAATTTCAAATATTTTTAATCTATATTAATCCGTGTAACTGTGTCATAATTAATGTTCCCTATATTTCTGGAATAAAATTTACCTGTTTATACATAAATTTTGTTGCATCATTTCTTCTAAAAATATTGCAACATAGAATGAAGTAAAAAAATGTTGGCAACGCGAGCAGCAGGGAATTGGATATTTTCCCCTTCTCCAATAATAAAATTTATGGATATACGAATGAGGCGAAATATTATTATTGGTAGGCCGCACATCGAATTATGAGCGATAACAAGTCAGTGAGAAGAGTTTGAATTATTCATCGGTTTTGTCGATCAATACCTACTGTCTTTACAGTATCCATGGTCCTCCTGTTTTACGAACTTAGTGGGAAATAAATAGTTATGACCCATATGAGTTTTGTTGTATTCATTCACACATAATCTAAAAGGAAAAAGAGGAAAACTGGCTCACTCATATGAATGGACTGTTTTTATTTTGCTATACCCTGAACATTCTATATAAAAACACTGGACCCATGACTGTCATTATTAAATGTCAATAACAGACAAAAATTTATCTCAATAGGCTCTGTTTTAAAGCGAATTCAAAAAATTATTCCCACGTATTTTATAATAGTTAAAGCAATATCTGAAATTACAAAGCACCAGTTATTTGATATTTCTGTTATTTAAGACAGAGTAATTTGTTCTCAATTCTATATTTTTCTTGGCTATGTAACACCATTTAATTACTTATTTTGCATCGATTTTGTAATTATTTTTAAAACTGACAGGACTTAATTTAATGTTGATTGCATATTACTTTTGAAATTATTGTAGCTGGCACTTTACTAAATAAAAAACTGCCATTGAAGATGACAGTTTAAAACTTTTTAAAGTGAAAAGATCTTCATACAATTTATGGTAGCAGTAAAGGGGCAGGCATAATTTTAGTTAATAATAAACAATCTTATTTAAGCTTTTTATTTCATCATTCACATCATACGACCATGTTCATAATTATGTAGTTTAAAATGGCCAGAAGATTACAGTTTTACCAAAAGTCGCCTGTAATAATTTTATACAATCGGTTACGCAATAACTACAGGAAGATTTAACGGATTACAGACAGTAGGAACTAGGACTTTGTCATTTTCATATCTCATTTTGGTAACTCCGATTCTTAAATTATATAGATAGAGCATCGAGTTTCAAATACGGGTCAAGTTTTTGTCAGCTAATTGTCAAAGTCAGTGACTCGTTTCTTATTAATGTTCTATATACTTACGCACACAATGTATCTTGACGTATCTATATTTTATTATTTAATTAATAAAATGCCTTTTTTACACTTTAAAAAGGTGCAGAAATTATAAATCAAAATAAATATAGAAGTTATAAAGGAATCACTCATAACTATTTATCATCCAAAATTATATGAAAAAGTTGACCCGTTTTCTCGAAGTATTTGTATGCAGACACTCTATCTAAATAATCTAAGCTCCGTTTATATTAACTCTGTATTTTCTATTTTAATATTTGACTGCTTAAAATAATTCAATTTAATAAATAGGACATCTTTATATTTTACATAAATACGCCCTGAAATTAAGTACTTATGTAGGTAAATAGTTTTATTATACATGCATTATTGGGTAAAGAAATTTTAAAATTATTATCAATCATTAACATCTATTGACGATAATTATCCACTATTGATACAGATGATTAACTAATTAATAGTCTGTATATAGTAGTCAATAGTTGACCTGCTGCTTTTACAATAATCCATTAAATTACATTAAAACATATATTACAAATATAAAATCAAACATTTACACATGATACAAAATGACACAATACATTTAAAATATACCTATTTGTCATTTACCTTCAATACAAAAACAATTCAGATAATCAATGAGTAAGTACTTATATTAATTATAGTTATTACAATTTTTGCAGATGTTTCTCAATATATTGGAGTAAATTTTTTTTTAAAAGGTACTTCCCTCAAAATTTGTTACCCTAACATTTTTATTTATGATAACGTATCGTGACATATAATATGGCATTTCAGTGCGTTTTATTTTTATTTTTTTATTATTACAAGTCCATCTTGTAATAAAAAATAATTTTGCCCCTTATTTTTCTTCATCTGATTATTAGCGATATCTAGATAGTATATTACACACATTATTCCATTCACATTACCTTTCATAAGGAAGTTTTTCTCTTCTATCGATCTAATCATCGAGAGCCACATCCATTTCTTTTTGACATTTTAGTACAACACATGAATTGACAAAGTTCCGGCACTTCTGACAGTAATCTAGTTTTTGATAGTATAGAATAAACACAGATTATACCAACATTAATAACAGTAAATATATAAACAGTAGCAGCATATTTTTCATGAAAATACAACAGTTACTTATCATTTAAATTTGAATTAGAAATCATAGCGACTGTTGGCATTATTTTTAATCTCAGATTTGACCTACGCTAAATTTTACCTATTATAATAATATATAATTTCGTCTATACAAGTAGCACATAAATTAATCTATTTTAAAATATATTTCGCTTCAATATACATATTATAACTTATCACATCCTTTAGCCTAACAAATAAACTTTCTACAATAGTCAGTGTATAGAGCTGCGGGAAGACTTTCAACACCAAGTAGCAGGATTGATATAATTTTTAATTTTAAAGGAGAACAAGTCATTAAACAAATCAACAATGTACACTTTTAATACATATTTGATTAAAATATGAACAGTTTATTGATCCATTAACGGAGAATATTTCTATTTTCAGAATTTTATAGTCAGCTTTCTAAATGTTCCAAAAAGTTTATTAAAAATAAAATAAAATTAGGTTAATATTTACCAGCTTGACCAGACAGTTTATGCTCGCCTGCAAGTATTATGAAATTTTGTTCTGCTATATTTTTTATGAGAGTCGAATTGTTTTTATCGGTAACTGACGTTAGTGTATTAGTTTTAAATGCAATACATAAACTGTTCTCCTTCATTCAATCCTCCTCTTAGTAATTACGATTAAATATAATACCTCTGCTTTTACATCATAACACTAATCATATCGAAAATATTCTGCTGAAATACACAGATAATAATGAATTCCCAAAATATGTTTTCACTTTGAAATCGTCTACCAACATGAAATATTCAGATTAACTAGATTTAAATAGTTTATTGTGAAAACAAATCTACAATAATCTGCTCAGCTACTGAATACAAGATTCTTATTATTTCAATCTTAATTAGTATTAAATAGTTTTACATAAAAATCTCCATATAATATTTCAGATCCTTTCTTTATTTAAAATTCTCAATATATAACTAATGGTACATCAATTTCCAAATATTTCATGATGATTTAAAACCATTAATTATTACGTAACACAACATTTAAAGCATTAGTAAAAGAATTTGGTGAATATATTATAATTATTGTTTATCCCACAACACTATTCGATTTAAAATCTATTGGGAATTGTATCGATTAATGTTGATAACTACAGCGAAATGAAAAGGTTTCCTAATATTAGTAAACCAATTAATCAGTAATCGTCCAAATTAGATATAATTTTCTTCAAAACTTTGATCAGTCATAAAATATGTATGCTTGCATATTTGAACATTAGGTAATAGGTACATAAATCGTTATTTATTAATAATATCGAATCGAATCTCTATGAACTTATCGTAAATTATAATATCGCATCGAATATCAGAAATACATATCAGTAGTAAATGCTATAAGCCGCCATTAAACTGAATCGACCATAACTTGGAGTGGAAAATCTGCTCGTCTGCATTTTGACCTCATATTTTTTTCTCTTTACAGCCAGTACTATAGAGGATGTAGGTACGAATCCAATCACACTCCAACATAGCTATGTATAGCTTTAAGCTCGTATTATCAATAGAGTAAAAACATTTTAAAATTATTGTTATACATTCTACTAATGCTTATAGTTAAATATAGGTTTGTGAAAAATGTTTGCAAATATGTGCTATATCAAAATAAATATGTAGAAGATTAAGGTATAGTATCTATAGGTAAGACAATTTGATTGCTAAACCCTGTCAAAAAATTATATTGGATATTGCCAGCCACATTTATTGTTAATTGTGAAAATATTAAATCTGTTGTATTACACAGTGATAATTAGACACTTTATAAGAAATAAATTAAGTATCCAACCGTTATATGTGTTTAATAATTGACATATTGAAGCTCAAGAGAAAACCAGCCATGTATAAGCGTTTACGAAATTTTAAAATTATAGAATATAATAATGTAAATCCTATTTATTTTTTTACTTTAAATTATGAACACAGTAAAATTTTACTAATTCATCTAATTGGTAAAAGTTCTAGATAGTACTATAAGTGGAGCTCATATAATTCATTAATTGTTGAATAACTAAACTGAAATTTAATGCAATACATAAGTACTTATTGGATAATATAACATATAATATAAATTCTCTAGCAAACAAAACATTAAAAGGGACAACCTTTTACCTTGAAAGTGAGACGAGAAGCCTAAATATTGGGTCAAAATGATCTGTTTATTTATTGTATATGTTCTCTAAAGAGTATATAGTTTTCTATTTCTTGAAGCGCTATATAATATCTTTCGGTGCTGGAGGAAGGCAAAGAGTCCTGTTTTCAATTTATCCGATTTAATTGAAGCGAGATCTCTCGAATCAGAAACCCGCAGCTCAAAAGCCAAACTGGGTGGTAATTTTGCAGACAGGTCGATGTTCCATTTGCCTGACTCGTTTCTGAATGAGGCTTCTTTGGACTTAGCTCGTTCACCGCCACTGCGAGAAATATTAGCAATTCAGTTATATTTACTTTTAAACTCTAAAGTTTCTGAATTCAACTTCTGTCGTCACATTAATTTAAATAAAAGTGATTTGCTTATTACTTGAATTAACTTTTCAATTTTAATAATTCAACATTAAGCAAAAGTTTATGAGACTATTTTGAGATATCTTTGTAATTTATTAAGATAAATTTTATCATTGTTTTGCCACACAATTTAAATCTAGTGGTGATCATTATCATAACAGCCATTATTTTCGCACTGTTGGACGTGGATCCCTTCTCATAAGAGGAGAAAATAGCCTATTTGTACCACGTTGGCCAAGCGATATAGAATATTGTTTCAACTTTTTCTTCTCTTGACCTAATGTATTTTTCTTTGATCTCTTAGTAGTTTCTTTCAACATCCTAAAGACGAAAAGATGCCACAATATATGGTATCTTACTATTCTACAGTTCTGGATGACATTAATAATAAACTACGTTTTAAAATAATTCCAAAAATTCGAAATTACATTACCTGTGACAGTCTGTTTCTTGAGATCCGCGAATCTTTCCCCAGGACCGACCTCATCAGGTATACTGGCTGTACATGTTAGCTGAAGTTTTCCATGTGCTGGTGCACGCAATTCAGCTATAGATACCCAGAGGGATATAGGAGCTGCCGACAGAGCTCGTGGTCTCTCCTGCATCTGAGCAAAAAGTTGGATTTTGGAGACAAGTTGACTGCACACCTGATGGAAAGTATAGCCTGTCAATTTTGCAAGGAGTAACAAACGTACGTAGGAGAAAGAGCAGGAGGAGGCTTTATATGCAGTGCGTGAGATTACACGTTTTCTTTCCTTCCTGTTACCTTTCCGCGCTATATCAAAAACATCATAGACACCTACCTCGCCGTCTACACAACAGTAAACTCGCTAAGAAGTGCCACGTGCGAACTATGCAGAATCCAGTAACCGACGAGTATACATATACAACTACATAATGTAAATTCTTGTAATGAAGTATATTTTTATCTGTCACTTATGGTATAATTTTTGCTTTCGATTCTCTTTTCGGGCTCCTTTCTTATTTTAGTCTATAGACGGGGGTATTATTATATTACATGAAGAAAATGTGTATCTACGCGTTTAAGGGAAACAAAAATCATATATATATATATATAAAACTCTTTTTTTTTGAGAGATATATATATATATATTAAAAATTCTTTTGATAATATAACTGTTGCTACAATTTATTTATTGCAACATTCTAACATAAAGAAGTCAAATTATTTTTCTTTATACTAAAATAACCCAGAAAAAGATTGCTCTCAGGAATAAACTCGGCCATTCTTTTATTTGCGTTATTATAATTTATTAAACATTAAAGCCATAGCTTTTGGTTCCGTTCGTATTCCTTTAATTCTTAATAACAAAAGCAAAAAATAACAACTTGCTTTATCTTCTACTAACAAGCAAAAGAAAGCATCGTGCATCGTTTCGGATTTTGTATAATCTTTTCAATACAGTCGGAAAGAGAAGGAGATAGGTACTTCTTTAATCTGGAAATACTGACTCTGAAATGGTTTTAATTTTCTTTGATTGTTTTATATGTTATCATATAAAATATTCAAAGAAGGAAGAAGGAAGAGATTAGGAATTTACAGAAGAAGGACGATTTATGGCAGCTTTTATTATAAAATAACTGTACATATTTAGTAGGTATTTTGAAATTTAAATAGATGGATACACTTTATTATTTCCTCCAAAAGATTCAAGTAGTAAACTTATTATTCGTATAAATACAAATTATTACAAGTAATGAGAAAATAACGGGTGGCCTTATCTCTAGAAATGTTCTCTTCCAGGTAACCTTTGGATAGAGAGGAGTAATTATAAACAGTTTGATCGGGAGTACTGTAAAATAATATAAATAACCACACCACTTTAGATCAAAAGTTTTGGTAAATTTGAATCTCATATTTACGTATATCTTAATACTGAATTTCAAAGGAATAGTAATAAATAAGGAATGTCATCAATACAGGGATATATATATTAGAAATTGTTTAATTTATTTTTTACCTTAGACATCTCATCGCTTTGAGCTTCCTTGAAAGTGCACTTATTGTGTTTGCTGTTATTCACTGTAGGTGGCGTGGTTGTCTCGCTTACAAGAGCCCAGTATTTGGCGGTATAATTGAATTCCGGAGCTATGTATCGGTGTTGGTGCTTGCGATGCCTGTATCCACCGCCTCCTTTGGTCCGAGTCGAACTTGATACTCGATACGAAAAGTATCTTACAGATTCTTCATTCACCTGTTAATAGAGGTAATTGACATTACTATCTATACCTTGGATCCTTTAAACTAACGTGAAAAAGTACTTAGTGAGCTGCCATAATGTATCCCATTGTTGAGAGAACATTCTATTTTCGGATGATTGTATTCATGGACCACGTTTTCTCTGTGTTTACTGATAGAATAATATGGTCACATGCATTATTATAATAAAATAAAACTAGAGAGACTTTGTACAAAAGTCACCTGTTTGGATACCTCAACTACGTCTCTACTTTATATATATATTTTAGTCACCCAATAGTTACTGTATTTGCACAGCTGTGCTGTGTGTGTTGGTGTTTGAAGAATGGAGACAATGATATTGCTGGTTACAAATGGAAGCATAACAACTTAATTCTTAGGAATAATAACCAATAAGGATTGTCATGGATGTCAGAACGTATTTTGTGATGTTATATATTGTTCATGTTATTTTTTTTTTCAATTAAAAGTTGTATAAAAAATACCTACTTATTTGTGTTGTTAGAGATATACAAAATCTAAATAAAGCATTAAATGATACCCAATTAAGCTGCTTAATTAACTAAGAAGAGAAATAACTATGGTTCGCTACGTTACAGTATCTAAAAAATAGAAGAACCAAAAAGGCTGAAATAGCCAGAAGGTTAGAAAAAAGATTGGAAAAATAAAAATTACGACAAAAAAATTTTAATTCAAAAATAAAATAATGAATATTTTACTTTTGACGCTATGAGACATAATAAAAAAGATGTTTTCAGTATTCATCTCAGTATTCTTGTTCTTATCACGAAGCGTTAACAAAAGAACTTTTTATAAAGATATTCTTTCATTTTTCAAGAAGCCAATAAACATTTTATCGCTATCAGTCGACGTCAGATACGTAGTAATAAGTTCTGAAAGTATATATTTTATAGGAGACAGATAATGCTGCTTCTTGAGGTACCTAAATATCATTTTGTAGGGAACGAAATAATGATAAGATTTTTTTTAAATATACCAACACAAAGAAAATGACTACCGTCAAGCAGACGGTCTATATAAAACCAAATTTACATTATACTGTAAAACTAGCTTTGACGTTTGTTTTATAAAATTTACTATATTTAATTTACTAGTTAATTTCAAAACTAATCATTTTCTTGAAACTATTTGTCCATTGTGTATTGACGAACCTAGTGATATATATATATATATATATATAGTAACTGTAATAGAAAATCAGTGTTTTTACTGTTTTACATCACTCTCCAAAACGAAACAATATTCGCAACCAAACTACAAGGTGGCAGAAATAGGTGAGATAATAATACTTTACAGCTGAATTTGAAGGAAAATTTACCGTTAGTATGTTTATGTACATATAGTTAGAAAGCACCTAAATGAAATGTAGGATTAAAGGCGTACAACTGAGATTTTAATAATGAAAAACCCACATTTCGCGGTCCATATTTAAAAGCAATGTGGCAGGAGGCAAGTTTACCGCCGTCTTCCGGATTAATTAATTTCTTAAAGGCGTTTCATCATCCACTACCATAACAATTATTATTGCTAGGTACACGTCCCCCCCTTAAAGAGTAGAATAATCTTTGATGAAAATACCATCATCATCATCATCACATCAACCATTATCCGTCCACTGTTGAATATTTTAGTTACAACGAATTAGATTCGTCGGTTGACCTCTCAGTCGAAGTTGGACTTACCGAGTCGGACAAGTTGTCTCAGGTATTCATACTCGTCAACAACTTTGAGCATAGTGTTCTCAATCCTAACGGGTATAGACATAGTTAGACATGATTTCAATCTAGTCGATGTTCATCTGATGACCTACCTGTCGAGAAGTACTATTGAATATCCCATACACCTTACTATTGCCATCATCACGTAAGTCACACACGGTTGAACGACGTATTGTTCTGTTAGTCGCTTCTTGAAAATAAAAAAAGATCTGCGATATATGGATTTGGAAAACGAAGTCGTTATGCGTTAACAATCTATTCAATCCTAAAATATTTCATTTATACTTTTTGATTTATTCTGACAATTTTCATACCTTTTCATTGTCGATGTACCAGGTGAGACGCGGTGCTGGAGCCGCCGGTGCGCTGGTACAGTTGGCACGTAGTAACCCTCCCACCACCACATTTGGTTTGCCAAATGTTATAATTGGTGGATGCTTCTGTGAATCTGTGAAATTACGGGATACAGAGACATAACATCATAATTCTCAAAAATGACGATGCTGAATACCACAGTATCGTGATGCTCTTCATGTCTATGAGCGACGGTTACTACTTTCCATCAAGTGGGCTATCAGCTTATTAGCTATATTCAAATACTATAAAAAAATCTAAGAAAAAATAATCATATTACGTTCTAACGTAGAATTGATATCAACTCAAGTGTAGAACGGGAAATCACTGCGCATATTTTTTGATGTCGCTGAATAAAGCTGTATCTCTAACATTCTTATGTATGAAATTCGACAAGTTGAAGCGCAAGTGGATTTTCTACTTACATACGATGCTAACATAGTTCTTACATGATTTTTCCATTGTTATACTCAACGACGCATTTGAAAGATTAAGAGTAAATTGAAATAGGAACTATTGATTTTTTTTAATATATTTTGAAAGCTTTTCGAAGATCTAGAAAATAAAAAAATCTTCATTTTTTGTACATCACTCTGCATTACATGACTATATACCTATACTATACATGACTATACACGAGTATCTAAACATAACAATCACAAATAGGTTGACTTATAGAGAATGCTACTAGTATTAATTCCGCCTTTTGTAACATATTTTCAATAAAGTTTTTTAAAGAAATGTGGGAAGTGGGAAGATAAGGAACGATGACACATTTTAAAGCGTTACTTTAGTACGAGTAATTACATTCGTCTACCAATCTTACTCGTATCGTACCATGGTCGTAGCTGGGGGGGATATAAAGAGGCAATGCTGTACCTTAAAATTAAAGGCCCCAAGACAATTAGATACATTCGCTTTTTTGAAGTCACTTAATTATGGCTTCTGTCCTACCGTAAACTTTGGTCTAGCTACGATCCTGTATCGTGCATATCTTTCACTCATTGCCTTTATTCTCATTTCTATTCCTTTTACTTATCTTCTAGAAATATTAACTCTCATATATATAAATAAATTATAACCTCTTAATAAACCTAACAAAACACGATGTCAATCGAAAAACAAACAAGATTGTACTCCATAAGAAAACCGGATACAGTTATAGCAAAACCAGTTATTTTGTTTTAAAAACTAAACTACTAATTTTAATAACGTTTCTGTGGAATCAGCCTATATATCCTTTTAGATAAAAATCTATCAAATATACCCTTTCAGATAAAAAAATAATTTTCCAAATCGGCTTATAACTATCGGCTTACAACCGGTATGTGTAAAAAGCGGCCAGCTTTCTAGCATACTGATATCTAAATAACTGCATTGTAAATTAATAATAAATAAATAAATACAATAAATAAAAATACTGACCGACCGAATTGATAACCTCCTTCTCTTTGAAATCGGTTGAAAATATTCGAGGAAGATTGGTACTACACACAAACATACGCTATTTCAAAATGTCAACCATATTTGTGCATTACATTCTGTGATAGCTAGTATCTCAATAATAGGCATCTGTTTGTATGCAGTACAGTGTTGTGGATTTATTACATCAACTCCGCCGTACCATTTCAGCCGCATGTTCGGCATACGGAACCCTATAATTGGTTGATGTTTCATTCCCGACAGTGAATAATCGATAAATCAGTTGCTGATAGTATCTGTTAGCTACGAGCTCGCTATGGTGTCTCAAATTTAATATTGCAATAGGATTTTTAGTGAATTGATAACGATTATATTTTAGGTAATTTTGATAGAAGTTTCAGATTTTTATAGATTACTGGCTACTACTACCCATGATCGTCTGCCTGACCAGGATATGTTTACTAATATGGATAAACAGGAGATTTACCATGAAATAAACGAACGAAATAGTTATTATTACGAATTTTCGGACTAAATTTCGTGTTTATATTCATACCGAAATCGGTCCAATGAATGGAGCTTAACCAGTGGTTCATCATAAATCCTACCATAATAGTCCAAAGAAATGATATCTTAACATTTTTAGTATTTTTAAATATTATGTATCATGTAACTTTAACATTAAAATGCGTTTCGTTTAATCCTTTGTAGCCTTTATCTTTCTTCGTCACATACAATATATGTATACCAGATTTCATAGTGATTAGTTTAGCCGTTAAGACGCTATAAGGTAACAAACAAATTCACTTTTACGTTTATAATATTAGTAAGGATTATTATAGATAAAAATATATGAATATTTTAAATTTATTAAGTTTATTTTATAATTTTGTATTAGGTACGTTATTAAAAATCATGAGCCAAATATTTTTTTATCGAAGGAAACATAAAAAAATACAACACACTAAAATATAAACGACTTGTTTACATTTTCCTGTTTCACATTGTCTGCACAAAAATGTATAAAGCATAAAAAAGACTTTTTAGCTTTACGGGCTTTAAACAAAACAGAGAAGTTAATCTAGAGATCGGGAGGGTAAATGTGTAGCAAAAAAATAATATGAAATCGAATCCCATGCTGTTTATTTCGACTTGCATTCACTTTCTCCTTTTTAATATCAAAAAGCAATATCTGCGACCCAATATTATCCTGATTTACTTAGAAACAAAGTCAGTACAATTGTGTTTCCTTTATTTGTTATGACGGTCGTCTATGGAAGCCATTTTCTTGCGTGAAATGAGTTATTCATTCTAATGGAAACATTTTGTATTCTGCGTGTGTGTTCTATAATAATCATATTTCACTCACATAATATTTGTTACCAGTTATATTGATATATATCGGATATCCTAATTTGTGTTTTAAAACAGTCCTTCACTGAGTGATTTCAAGTTTGCACTTAACATATAGTATATTCGATATGAAAATTTACTTATCATTATCATAACTATTAATTGTTCACTGCTAAACATACACCTCCCCCTATTAGAGGATTTTACAAGTAGTTGCCATGTTTGACAGGCGGATTAGTAACCGCAACTAGGCTTTGGTGATATATTAAGAGGACTGCTGCTGCTCATCCCTTGACCATTAAGTTAAATTTAAATTTATTTATAAATGTCACCGATCATCTTTCAAACTTATTATAAGAGAAAGTTCTTAAGAGCATGTTAATCCTTTTAGTAAATACAATGTTCATATTATTTATATAATTACTATTGCTTCCTTTACTATCAAATACATATATATTAAACAAATGTATTATATTGTTTATGAATTTTAGAATAGCAAACAAGCTGACGGTCCACCTGTCGGAAGGTAACCGTCAAATATAGACATGAATAGCAGCACCTTGGACGTCACTCTAATAACCCATAGTGCCCTTCATGCGTTAACATTTCTGAGTAATATATTGTTAAACCATTTGGTCCCGGCATAGAATGGGCCACCTTCTTCCTTTTCTATATGTATCGCAAGAGGCGACTATGGAAATTTATTTGTCGAAAAATGGCCAGCAGCTTCTTAAAACATTACCAAAAGCCTAATTGCAGTTGCTAAGCCACCCATCAAGCGACACAACTACAGGCATTATTCCCTTTATAATAGAGGCCTATGGTCAGCAGTGGATGGTTGATGGCTGATATGATGATAATTTTAAAACCTTATTTCTTTTATATTCTTCACTTAATCGAAACTTTGTAACTTATATTTAAAATGTTTAATACAGTTATAAAAGCGTATATTAATATATTTTTTATTGCTATTATTATTCTGTCCTGGAATGTTTCACATAATATCTGGGCACACTACTTACAAACGACAGTCAGCTGGTGAGGTGGGGAGGCGGCTGTGAAGATGGGCGTCTCCAAGGACACCTCGCACCAGTACAACCCAGAAGCGGAGGGGTCTAAATTATCTATGGTTATCGAATTCTCGGTTACCAGAGACATCTGCAACAAGAAATAATAATTAAAATTGTTATTGTTTATGATAGCATTAGGATTGTGATAAAAAATATACATAAGTATATTTTAATAATTATTACCTAATTAACTAATGTTCTGGGCCGAAGAGGGAGGTAAAAAGTTAGTAGGAGAGTGGAATATATTTTGTAATGTGATTGTAAAAAAATATATCATAATGTGCAATGCAACTGTATTAATAAATAAATAGTTATGTATAATAATCAGTCTGTTTAATTTAACATCATCAAATCAGCCGTTATCTGTCCACTGCTGAAAACAGGTTTTCCCCAATAGATTGCAATAAGCAACGGTTTCGAGCTACCTGCCTTGCAGTGCATTTGAGGCAGTGAATGGAGCATTCATTGGGAAAATCGTCCTTATAGCATTTGCATATTCGGAGTGCTACTCGAAAACATTTTTTTTTTCCATCAATTATCGATTCTTCGTGTTATGTGATGGACCCATTACAACTTCCGCTCGCTTATCCTTTTAATTATATCAGTCGGTTTCGTTATAGATATTATATTATTATATATATATATATATATATATATATATAGATTATTATTATTTATTAACTTACATTAAGTTTTCCTCCAGTGAAAGTATAATTTGTGAACGGCGGTACCCTCTCTCTGACGTACTGCAGCAGTTTGGCCCCAGATCTTAGGAACTCCACCTTGTACAGCAACTGAGGTGGCACTTGGTGGAGACATCGAAGAGTTGCTGATCCTCCGCGCGCCACCCAGCTAGGTGCCGTCAGCCGTACATCGACGTCGGTAGCTTGACCATTTCCTATGACATTATAAACAAATATAGATTAATAAAACATCTTGTAAAATTACTAGTATATCACGTTGACGTGTTACGCGGTAAAGTACTAAAGACCATGTAGTTTTGATAATACGGCCTACTTTTGCTTCATATTAAAACTTTATAATAATAATTTGTATTTATTATAAATAAAATTTATTCGATTATATTCTGACATTTATGTGCGTGTAATCTATAGTCATTGTTTGCTATAGGTACGTATGTCAGCATTTTACACAAAAAATTGTTATTTAATTAATGTATGATAGATACTGTTAGTTGTATTTCAAATAAATAAAATATAAAAGAAAAACATTGTGCATGATATTTCCTCGGCATGTCCTGAACAAGCAAATCTAACTTAACAAAATAATAATTTTAATCTATTTCAATAGAACTTAACAAAAATGTAAAGAAACTAATAAAATTGGCCAGACAGTCTGTCGATGTCCAATAGCAGTACAAATAAAAATCTATTAATTGAATAAACGTTTCGATTTGATACTAATTTCGTTTGGAGAGTGTTACTGTGATAATTTCGACAAAACTTAGTTACCTTTTCATTAAGTTTTATTGAAATAAATGAGTAAGCGATTGACTATAATCCCTTTATGGGGATGAGGAAAATAAAATTTTATGTCATTGTATAAAGATGAATTTTATAAAAAAAATATTCTCGTTTTTGTCTAGCTTTAAAATATTCGTGATGATGTGGTGATAGTGTAACCACAACCTAACGACCTCTTATACACTGTGGTGATTATGATGAATGGAGAATGAAAGTGCCCGCCTTGTGTATAATATGACCTCTGAATTTCTGTCATTCCGTGAAAGAGCTGTACATATTCATGGGTTTTAGATATAAAAACCATGACTGGCTATCACAGTATTTGTTCTTAGTCAATGACATGCAAATTTCTAAAAAATTGCATGGCATTGACTACACTCATCATCATATCAGCTTTTAACTATCCACTGCCGAATGTAGGCCTTTCCCATAAGGGGGGTTTTACCAGTAGTTACCTCACTTGATGGGTTAGCAATCACCGTTAGGGTTTGGATATTATATGTATAATATAGATATTATCTATATTATACAATAGTATTAGACATATATAGGTGTATAGTATACACCTATATACTCGTATGTATAATACCTCGTTGTTGATAGCACGATATTAATTTTCTGTCGATCTTACCGATATTTTTAAAATTTATTAAAATATCGATATTTATTGCTATATTTGAATGTCTATATCACATAAAAATGTCTGAAGGGTCCTAATTTTAAATGTTTTATGGTCAAATAAAATCACAAAACTTTCCATAAACATATTTTAAAAATTTATTTCAATACAAATATTGCTATTTATTTTTAAAGATTTCTACAATTATTATAAATTTATAATAATACCCCGTTCATTAAAATAAATAAAATTCTACTACATATTGCACCGAAGATCCGAATGTACAAAGAGAAATGTATACATCTGAAAACACGACCCTCTTTTCTTTGGTAGTCGGGCAAAAAGCAATAGACAAATTGCGAAATTCCAGTAACGGTTACATTTTATCTTGCGCGTATGTCATTCTAGAGTTAATGGGGTCACATTCCAATTTAAGTTTCAAAATGTTGGTGGACATTATTTGCCGTGCGAGTCACATTACTGTCGCAAATGTTTTATTAAAACAGTAGGTATTTTTCAGAAATTTAAGGATTATACGAGTGTTAAAGGTTGACGAATAATACAATACGTTAATTACAAACATACTTAAGCGGTTAAACAGATTTTAATGGATTTTAGTAGATTGACCATTATTCTAGGTAGTATACTAAACATGGGCCTTTTTCTATTTGGGGAGCTTTGCTAGCAATTGCCATGCTTAACAGGCTAATTGGCAACCGCAGTTAAGCTTTGATGATGTTTTAGAGCGATGCTGCGGCCCATCCCTTGACCATTAAATTCTCTTAGTCGTCTTTTACGACACCCACGGGAAAGAAAGGCGTGGCACATTCTAGGTCGGAATCACACCACAAACTGCTTAATAAGTAACTACTTATGTATTACTAATCTATTTAATCTCAAGATATCGTAACGACTAAAAAATAATTACAAGAGTCAAATATCTGAAATTAGGTATCCAATCTTATAAGGAAATCTAAGTTAAGATGAATCAATTTTTGTTTAATTGCCAATTGAATTAAAATAGTTAATTTAATAAGAAATTAAACAGTTAGAGAACCTTTACCCATTTGCTTACGAAACCCTAAAACGGGAAACTCTGACATACATACAAATGGCTTCACAACATTCTAACTTCTTATTTGACTACGAAGGAAACCCTGAAAAAGTAAAAAGTGTAGTGTTTACTAGGAGCGAGGTCGGGACATTGTTTACACATTTATTACAAATCCACCGCGGGCTCCTTGTTCCATGTAGATTTAGGTACAGATTCAATTCTAAGTGAGAATGCAACGTGTATATAACGAGAACCTCTTTAACGTACGACTGGAACGTGTCTGAAGTTGTTTGCCAACTTTAATTTGAGTAAAGCAGAGACAATTCAGCGTGTACGTAGCTGTTCACATCTTTGTTATATTCAGCAGAATTACATGCTTTCGAACGTTGTTTCGTATTAAGGTAACGTCAAATAAACGTACCTATATATTTTTTTAATAAATTAAATGTATATGTGCTTGAGCACACGCTTACACATGCACATACATCTGTGCATATATATGTGTGTGTGTAATAACTAATATAATTAGAATTGAAAATTATTCCTAATCTCATTACCATATAGTAATATATGTATTGCCCCATCCTAAATACAAATTTCATCATGATCGGTTTAAAGGATAAAATACTAAGAAGTGACAAACTTAGTAATATATATATATATATATATATATATATATATATATATATATATATATATATATATATATATATATATATATATATATATATATATATATATATATATATATATATATATATATATATATATATATATATATATATATATATATATATATATATATATATATATATAATATTTCATATTCATAAGCATAATAAGATTTTATATGCACAATTTAATTTCTAACATTCTTTTATTAAACGACATTTATCACGAACAATAGCAAAATATTTAAATCAAATATCGCCAAGCACTGCATCAAACGTGCTGAATTGTGCTGTTCTGAAAGGGACGAAATTTATCGCTTTTCAAAACTGGCAATTTACTGCACGCCATCTTGATTTTCAATTTTAAACTGTAATAAAATTTTTGGTACCTACGAATCCATTTTGATTTACATTTGTATATATACTGAAACTTTACAAACATTTAAATCCTAAAGTTACTAAACATATTTGGATGTTTAATCGCTTGTTACACAATAACACTTAAACAGCTGGACTTTTCTACACAAAATACAAATATACTTTTTTTTTATACAACATAGAATGGCAAACAAGCTGATGGTCCACTGATGGAAAGTGGTAATCGTCGCCTATAGACATGAGCAGTACCATGGACATAACAGAGTATACTGTTTCGCCCATGATACCCCCTATGCGTTGCCATTCCTAAAGACTCAGGTGTTATTCCTCTGTATCCAGTAAATTCATGTCATATCCCACCCTTCAAACCGAAACACAGTCATGCAAACACAACTGCTTCACGGTTGAAACACGAATGGGACAGAGGTATCCAAGCAATCGACTTTTGTTTAAAGTCTCCCTCTGGTAAAAGACTATATTGTAGCATAAGAAATAATATATTGTATCCTAATTTAAATACGCATAACCGTGAATATCGCTTATTTAATTGTCGCTTTATACAATAATAATGGAATATACCAAATTTTGTGTTTTTATTTTATTTATTTACTTTTTATTGCACCTATTAAGAATAATACAAATTTATAAGTATATTACACTTCAAGTACAAAAGGCGATTTTATTGTTAAAGCAATCTCTTTAAAACAAACTTAGTAAAAGAGAAAAGAAAAACACAGTAGCTGTTTGGCGCAAGATTTGTATGTAATAAAAAAACGCTCATGTTAATAAAATATGCGATAATTACATGCATACTATAAAAATTACTAGAGACTAATATCGGTTGTTGTTCTTTAAGATTTAAATTTTCACATGTTAGCCCCTTTCATATCATAAAAATATTCAAACAGCTAAATTTAAAAATTACGGAAGACCTTTGGGGCATGTCTGTAAAAGTAGTTAGTTCTTTCATAGATATTGTTGCTCCATATCTAGCCACTATTTTTAATAAATGTATTGATAATGGCGTTTTTCCACATTTAAAATTTAGCAAATTAATCCCACTATTTAAATCAGGAGATAAATTTGAGCCAGGGAACTATAGACCTATATCTATTTTGCCAGTTCTAAGTAAGGTGTTTGAAAAGATAATGTTAAATCAAATGTTACATCACTTCAGGGTTAACGGACTGCTTCACAGTCAGCAATATGGTTTCACCGCCGGCAAGTCTACCACTGACGCAGGTGTTGCGCTAATGACACATATTTTCGAATCTTGGGAGAGGTCACAGGATGCACTCGGAGTTTTTTGTGACCTATCAAAGGCATTTGATTGTGTGGATCATAAAACGCTTTTGTACAAGCTCGAACATTATGGTATAAGAGATAATGATCTAAAATTAATGAGAACTTATTTAGAGGATAGGGTTCAAACTGTAGATATTGACGGTGTAAAATCTAAGGGAGCTAATATTAAGATGGGCGTTCCACAAGGGTCAATCTTAGGCCCCTTTCTCTTTTTAATCTACATAAATGACCTTCCCTTTATGGTAGAGAAAATTGCAGATATAGTGCTGTTTGCGGATGATACTTCGTTAGTGTTTAAAATTGGACGTCAAAGTAATCAATTAGACGATGTAAATTGTGCTATGTCTGCAATATTAAATTGGTTTACATGTAATAACCTATTATTAA